ACATACGTGCTAGTCGTTCCTGACTCTAGGGGGCGGTGCTCATCTCCGTTTCAAACCCGAAGAGCCAATGCTGTCCGGAGACGTCTCCGTGGTCATGTAGCCGGCATGACTCAATGCCAAAGGTGCACGGAACGCTGTTCCCTTCCCACCAAAGGTGGTCCCAATTTTTCTACTTGCATTTTTTTTTTCGTGCTTTCGAACTGCTAGGTTGGCAGAAGCTGGGACAAGTGATGGGAGCTCATCCCGTTACGCAGCACTAGGGATTCGAACCGCTGAACTGCCGACCTTTCTGATCGACAAGCTCAGCGTCTTAGCCACTGAGTGACCATTTCCCTCTGGGCACCATCCTAGCATGTGCCAAAAAATGTGGGGGGGAAATTGAAAATGAATTTTTTTTTTTACCCTTTGTGCCATGAGTTAGTGGAGAGGAAAGATCAGCAGACTACTGTACAGGTGGTCCTCGACTTACATCCATTCGTTTAGTGACCGTTCAAAGCTACAATGGTGATTTAATGACTGGCTTGTATTTATGGCGGCCGCAGTGTCCCGGGGGGTGGGGGTAGTCACGTGATCCCCTTTTGCGACTTCCTGACGTGCAAAACCAACGGGGAAGCCAGATTTACTTAACACCCGTGAACAACTGCAGTGATTCACTTAACTGCTCCAAGAAACGTCCTAAAATGGGGCAAAACTCACTTTAACAACTGTCTCGCTTAGCAACAAAACGTTGGGACTCAATTGTGGTCGTATGTCAAGGACTACCTATATTCTATACAGGCAGTCCTCAACTTATGACCACAATTGAGCCCAAAATTTATGTTGCAAAGTGAGGCACTTGTTAAGTGAGTTTCGCCTCATCTTACGACCTTCTTTGCCGCAATTGTTAAGTGAATCATTGCCCTCGTTAGGTTCATAACATGTCTGTTAAACGAATCTGGCTTCCCCATTGCTTGTCAGAAAAGGGGATCCCATGACTGTCGTAGACATGAGTCAGTTGCCAAGCGTCTGAATTTTGATCACGTGACCATGAGGATAACCGCAAAGGTCATAAGTGTGGAAAAACGGTCGTAAGTCGCTTTTTTCAGGACCCTTGTAACTTTGAACGGTCACTGAATAAAGTGTTGTAAATCGAGGACTATCTATACAGGATTCATAGAATCCTAGGACTTAAAGGGACCTGAGAGCAGTGGTGGGATTCAGCTAGTTCGCACCTATTCGGGAGAACCGGTTGTTAGAAGAAATCATATTTTGGTTTTTTTCCACTTTACAGGGCTAATCCTGTAAGGAAGGCAGGAAGGAAACATTCTGGTGGTGTCTCTAGCCTAATCTTTATTGCCCTGCTTACAGAAACTGCCTCTCTGCTTAACCCTTGTTACATTGTAACAGCTAAGGCGAAGCGCCCATAGACGTGAGTGATGTTGAATTGACCACGCCCACACGGTCACATGACCACTGAGCCACGCCTACCCAGCTGGTCATTAGGGCAGAGAACCGGTTGTTAAATTATTTGAATCCCACCGCTGCCTGAGAGGTTGTCTAGTCTAACCCTGCTCAAGGCAACAACCATATACCATCCCAGTCAAACGGTTGTCCAGTCTATTTTTGAAAACTTCCAGCGATGGAGCACCCACCACTTCTGGTGGCAAGCAGTTCCACAGATGGGAAATTTCTCCTTAGTTCCAGGTGGAATCTCTCGTTGATTAGTTTCCACCCATTGCTTCTCATCCTGGCCTTCTGGTGCCCTAGACAATCCGTCCATCCCTTCTTCTTTCTGTGGCCTTTTCCTAGAGGTGGCATCTCCAACCTCGGCGATTTCGAGACCTGCGGACTTCAACTCCCAGAATTCCCCAGCCAGCAGTGAGGAATTCTGGGAGTTGAAGTCCACACGTCTTGAAGCTGCCAAGGTTTGTTTCTAGAGTTATGCCACCATGAAGAAAGAAGTTTCTTTTCGCATTTGAACATTCTCACGGTGCTTTCCTTCCACGCAGGAAATTCAATCATCGACAAATCATATAATCCAAGGACTAGGTGTGTGTGTGTGTTAGGAAGGGCGTGTATCATTAAAAAAAATTTTTTTTTTACAAAGTTGGCACCCGCTCATAGCCCATGAACAGAGTGTGCGATTCATCGGAAAGCTCCCAAGTTCCAATCTTATTTTCTGGCTGGAACGGAAAATCCTCAGGGCCTCTATTACTGGATTTAGGATAATTCGCCATGGCCACCCCGCTGCAGAACAAGAGTGACATTTCTATGGAATTTTTTAAAAAAAATTTGAAACGAACAAACATTTAATACATCAATCCTCCCTTCCCTGTGACATCTCGTTGCTATCTTCTGGGCTTCTTCTCCATCTTCCATAAGTTTCTTCTATCTTCATCTTCTTCCGAACCATTCTTAACATTTCATTGCTAAACCAATGTTGTAATCATCATTTATACACAGTTATAATATCGGTCGTTTATATCTCTTTTCCAACCCACTATAAAAACGATTCCATGTCTTAAAAATATTCTGATTCTTCCTTATCCTTAATCATCAAGATTAATCTATTCATTTCTGCACAAATCTAATTTTTTTTTTACTACTACTTCTTCCAAAGGTGCTTTTTTTCTTTGAAGACATTTCGCTTCTCGTCCAAGAAGCTTCTTCAGCTCTGATTGGATGGCGGGGGAATGGAAGGATTGATACTCCTTGCAGACAGCTGGTCATTTGCATCCTTTTTAGAGGGTTGTTGAGGCCACTTGGAAGTTTATTTATTTATTTATTTTGTAATTTGATTTATATGCCGCCCTTCTCCGGAGACTCAGGGCGGCTTACAATGCGTTAAGCAATAGCTGGGGGATTCTGGGAGTTGAAGTCCACCCATCTTCAAGCTTCCAAGGTTGAGAAACACTGCTCTAAAAGGATGCAAATAACCAATTGTGTCTGCAAGGAATAAAAAATCTTTCCATTTCCCCACCGTCCAGTCAGAGCTGAAGAAGCTCCTTGGAGGAGAAGCGAAACGTCTTCAAAGAAAAAAAATAAGAAAGTCCTTAAAAAAACCACCTTTGGGACCACAAAAGTTACACTAACATCAAAGAAATGGTGGGATACGATCATTACAGAAAGTATGCAAAAGGAGGGACAGAACGAAATGGCGAAGGGCAAAAATTAGGATAAGTTTTATTTGTTTTAAATAATGGCGTAGAATTGTTAAAATTGTCCCGTAGTGAGTTGGCTGTGGTGAACTGCCCCATTCCCCTCCTATCTACAGGATATCCATAGTTTGTTTTTGTTTTTTTAATTTTTATTTATATGCCGCCCTTCTCCGGAGACTCAGGGCGGCTTACAATGTGCTAAGCAATAGCCGTCATACTTTTGTATATTTATACAAAGTCAGCTTATTGCCCCCACAAACTGGGTCCTCATTTTACCCACCTTAGAAAGGATGGAAGGCTGAGTCGACCTTGAGCCTGGCGAGATTCGAACCTGCAGTAATTGCAGGCAGCTGGTCTTAATAACAGGGTGCTTTAGACTACTGTACTACCAAGGCTCTTTTTGGGACCTGCCTGTCCTGGTCTGGGAACAATTTCCTGACAGGCGTTATGTAGAACATCTATTTCCTTCCCTCCCAACCGACAAATCAGATTCAGAAGTTTCCCACCAAGTGCTGTCTGTTTATATAAGTAGTCCTCAACGTACGACCAGAATTGAGGCCAGAATTTCCGTTTGCTAGGCGAGACATTTGTGAAGTGAGTTTTGTCCTGTTTTACGAACCTTTCTTGCCCTGGTTGTTAAGCGAATCGCCGCCATTGTTTAGTTAGCAACACGGTCATTAAGCAAATCCGACTTCCCCATTGGCTGTGCTTGTCACAAAAGGGGAATCACATGACCCCTGGGACACTGCGACCGTCAAAAATAGGAGTCAGTTGCCAAGCGCCCAATTTTTGATCACACGACCCTGAGGAATGGCACAACGGTCGTTAAGTGTGAAAAACAATCCTACGTCACTTTTTTTTTTCCCCCAGGGCCGTTGTAACTTCAAACGGTCACTAAACGAACTGTTGTAAGTCAAGGGCTCCCTGTCTAAAACGGATTTTCAGGCTTTTGAATCACAGAGTTGTTTAAGCGAATCGGATGTTTCTCATGGACCTTGTTTAACAGGTGGTCGCAAAAGAGGATCCTGGGATGCTGCCACCGTCATAAATACGAGTCAGTTGCTCAGCAAACTGACGAAGCTTGGATCATGTGACTGTATGGATGTTGCAGCCGTCATTTGTGTGTGTGTTGGGGGGGGAAATGGTCATCTGTTGCCATTTTCGCTGCCGTATCTTCAGACGGTCACTAAACGAATGGTTGTAATTTGAGGACTACCTATGTAAACTTTTGCCCAGGCTTTTACAGTGCTAAAATAAGAGGTGTCCTGCCTGCAGTCTCGGCATGATTGCTAGGTTAGGAAGGGGGGAAAAAACTTCAATATTTACTGACCAGTATCGCCTATAGTCAGCAACCTGCAGCTCTGGAGCCGCATGTGGCTCTTTCACCCCTCTGCTGCGGCTCCCTGTTACTCAATCGGCAAGCGATTTATTGAGTTTTTCGACCCCCAGTGGATAAATCCAAGAAAAGAAAAGTTTCAGAAGAAAAGAGAACGCTTAATTCGACTACGTATGCTAGTTTTGTGGCCGCTCAAGAAATCGTCAGGCACAGGAAGGGTTTTTGTGGCTCCCGGGTGTTTCCTTTTCTGCGGGAAACGGATCCAAATGGCTTTTTGAGTGTTTAAGGTTGGCCTAGACAGCTGGTTTCCCAGCCACTCGAGCAGACGCAGACGACGTGTGTGTGTCACAGAGCCGCACAAATTCCCTCCCTCCTCGTCCCACGTCTCCCGACCGACGCGCCAGGAGGCCCGTTGCCAGCTTCTGCTCCGTTGGCGTTGAGTCGGACAGCTGGGCGCTGCCCCTTTTCCCTCCCGCCTCTCTCGGAGCTTCGAGAGGTCCTTAATACCGCCTGCTTGGATCTTCCAGGCATTTCCAGCCGAGCTGTCAGAGGCGATTTACGGGATGGATCCCCAGATCTCGGCCAGATTGAACTCCAGGAAGAGGAGGAAAGAAGGCGCAGGTCCCAACGGGGCCACGGAGTCGGACGGCATCCCCTTAAAACTGCCCCGCAACTGTTTCGTAAGTTGAAAAGGCCTGGAGAGAGGGCGGCACGCAAGGGACGGCGGGTGGACTTCAACTCCCAGAATGCCCAGAAAGTGGGCGGGTTTCAACTCCCAGAATTCTAGGCCGGGCTGGCTGGGGAATCCTGGGAGTTGAAGTCCATCCACTTTGAAGCTAGGGTGACTCAGTCCCCTCTTGCTCTGCTGGGAAGAATCACATTTGTTAATTGCAGTTGTTCTTGTCTGTTCTTACCTCAAATTCAGATTTTATAGATTTACAAGTTGGAAGGGACCTTGTAGGTCATCTAGTCCAACCCCCTGCCCAAGCAGGGGAACCTACATCGTTTCTGACTGATCGCAGTCCAGTCTCTTCTTGAAAGCTTCCAGTAGTGAAGCTCCCACAACTTCTGGTGGCAAGCAGTTCCATGGGTTAATTGTTCTTCGGTTGACACAAACATCCTCTTCCTTTTTATTTTATTTTATTTTATTTTATTTTATTATTTTATTTTACTTTATTTTATTTTATTTTATTTATTTTATTTATTTTATTTATTATTTTATTTTATTTTACTTATTTTTTATTTTGCTTAATTTTTTGTTTTATTTTAATTTTAATTTAATTTTCTTTATCATTTTTATTTTACTTCTTTTGTTTTATTTTTATTTATTTCAATTTCAATTTTTATTGACTTTTATTTTACTTATTCATTTTTATTTTATTTTTTATTTTATTTTTATTGACTTTTATTTATTTTGATTTCACTTTATTATTTTTTTATTTCATTTCATTTCACTTCATTTTTTATTTTGATTTCCCTGTGCTTTTTTTTTATTCTTGTTTTATTGTGCTTTGATTGTTATTTTTTTTTTCCTGTATTTTTATTTATATTTCCCACCCATCTCGTTTTCAAAATGACTCTGGCCGGCTTTAATTGCATATTAATACATATTCCTGCCAGCTCATCTTTCTCCTACCAACACCTTACTCAATATAAGGGGAGAAACTTCCGCTCTGCGACCACAATTTTTAAACCTTGCCGTCAGTAGTATTTTTAACATCTTGAACTCGTCACAAAAGGTCTGCGTGAGAATTTCAGCATCGCAGCGAAGATCGCTGCCAGTTCAGCTTCAGCAAAAAATTAAAATAAAATCTACCTACCTACCTAGAATTGTTTTAAAGTGGAGATGATATACTTGCAAAGTTTCTAAAGCTTGCCAAGTTTAAGATGTGTGGACTTCAACTCCCAGAATTCCCCAGCCAGCATCGTTTACTATATTCTTGTGATCCCTTCCTCTGCAATCTCTCCACTTTATAGGGCAATGATGGCTAACCTTTTTGCCGTTGCGTGCCAAAAGCAGGGGAAGTGCAGGGGGGGTTGCGCATATGCGTGGCCACACCCATAATTCAATGCCCCCCCCTGCATCCCGCTCCCTCGCGCACACATGCACCACCCCGCTATGCTCCCCCTGTTTTTGGCACGCGACGGCAAAAAGGTTACCGGGGGGGCCAGTAGGGCCGTTTTTTGCCCTCCCCAGGCGCCAGAGCCTTTCTTGGAGCCTGGGGAGGGCGAAAACAGCCTCCCCCGTCCCGGAGGCCCACCGGAAGCCGGAAACGGCCCATTTCCTGACTTCCTGTGAGCCTGGAAGGCCCGAAAATCAGCTGGCCGCCACTCGGATGTGCAGTGGAGCTGAGCTAGGGCAATGCTCCCGTGCCCACAGATATGGTTCCATGTGCCACCTGTGGCACGCGTGCCATAGGTTTGCCATCACGGTTATAGGGTAGAAGAGAAAAAGAAACAGGCATGGCTGGCTGGGGAATTCTGGGAGTTGAAGTCCACCCGTCTTAAACTTGCAAAGCTTGAAAAAGTCAGCTACAGGATGGAATTTCTCCAGGGCTGTTCTTCCCACCAACCTATGCTCCAATCCTTCCATAATTCCTGCACTGAATCCTCTTTCCCTAACGTGGATAAATGTCGAATGAAGACATTTTTTTTTTTCCTGATTTTTCTTGGGTTTTATTCTTTAAACGCAGGGCCTGCGAGAGCCAGCGCCGTTTTCCGATGAGCTGGAAGTGGATTACAGCAAGCCCTACACGCGAGTCACATTTGAGGAGGCAACGAGAGGGACCCCCTGTAAGTGTTTCTCCATCAGACAGAAATCAAGAGCCAGCAAATTCTTGGTATGCAAGTAGTTCTTGACTTACAACGTGATTATTCGAAGTTACAAGAAGTGATTTGCGACCGTTTCTCGCACTGCCCGTTGCAGCATCCCCATGCTCACGTCTTCAAAGTTCAGGCGTTTGGCAACCGATTCATATTTATGACGGTCGCGTGTCCGTTGGCCTGATTTTACGGCCGTTCTTGCCGCCGTTGTTAAGTGAAGCGCTGCCGTTGTTCAGTGAGTCACAGGGTCGTTAACTGAATCTGACTTTCCCCCTTGACTGCTGGTCGGAAGGTCACAAAAGGGGATCACGTGACCCCAAAACACTGCGACCGTCATAATATGAATCAGTTGCCAAGCGTCTGAATTTTGATCACTGTGGATACCCCAACCGTCGTAAGTGTGAAAAACAGTCATAAGGCGCATTTTTTTTCAGTGCCGTTGTCACTAAACGAAAGGTTGTAAGTCAAGGACGATCTCTACTTCCAGTTTTCGGCAAAACCACCTCCACAGGGAAATATTGGTTCACTTAACGACCGTGGCATTTACTTAAGGATGCCAGCGGTCGCTAAGCAACCTCAATGAAAAAGGTTCTATAATCAAGGTGGTTACATCAACACTTGCATGGCTTAATGACCATAATGGGCAGG